TGTATTTAATATACATAATACATACTTTACAGATAACTAATAATATTTTGCAAATGCGAACCACGATGTTACTATCTTTAGTCTAGAGACAATATAACATCAATCGTGGTCCGCATTTGCAAAATATTAGTGTGTAAGCGCCTAAAATTATATAGGTCGCACCATCTATTCGAAATGAGCCGCACTGAGTATCGATCGATAGATTGAGCTGCGATCGCGGGGGATCGGGCGCGACAGGGGTTTCGAATATCGGAGCAGGGATTGACGTTGGGAAGTCGTCGCGAGAGGTACTCCGAATTCGGTAGCGAGCGTGCTAAGAACTTTAAGATAGAGAATAGTGGAGCGGGCGTGCTCTAATCGGAGGCGAGAGTGCCGTAGCGAAAGTGAGTGAAAAGCAACGGTGTGCGTGAGCCGATTTCTGTCGGACAGTGTAATAAAGGGTGAGAGTTGCCCGAAACTGTATCTCGCGTGAACCTTATGTACTTCTATAATTAAATACAGCACGCTTTTGTTCTTGTTGAATGCACGGTCTTGGGTCCATTTATTCTGTGTGTGTGTTGAAGCCTTATTGTCTGTTGCGCCTACAGCAGATTTATCTCAGAAGTGGGATATGAACCAGAAATTTCTCAGAGAAAGAACCAGTAAGATTGTGTCTCAAAAGACTTGCTATTAAAATTGAGTTGAGAGCACGAGGTTTGCGCGTGCCCTTCACGTGATCAGGGCAACGGTGGTAGAGACGGAGCATGAACTTGCGCGTGTCCTTCACGTGATCAGGACGAGGGCGCAGGCATGCTGAGGCAAGTTTGTGTTTGTTCGTGATCGGAGCTCACGTGAACGGGTGGTTGTTTGTGCGACAGGGAATCTGCGGCAGTTATCGGGCTGTCGATCGGTGTCATTTGGAGTTATCGACTATCATTCGACGGGAAAAAAAAAACAGTCCGGCTTAATCATGAGTCGGGTGCAATTGGAGCAGCTTAACATAGACGGACTGCGAGAGGTTGCTCGTCAGCATGGTCTTGATATACATGGTGCCCGGGCTGTGTTGTTTGACCGTATTACCGACCACTTCGAGCGACAGGGATGGCCGGAGACCATTTCCATATTGCCGTCCATTACGGAGGACAGACAGGTGGTTGAGCAGGAAGCGCAAGCTGTGCAGGAGGTTGTTGCGAATGCTGGCGCAGGGGAGCAGCCGCCTCGTGGACAAACGGCGGAGGCGGGCCGGCTTTCTGGGAGAGGGATCAGCGTCGAAAATGCATTTGATCTGCAGGATATTGTGCGAGCGGTGGTGCAGGCCTTGAACGTGGCGCAGGGGCAGCCGGTGAGTGTTGCTCCGGACTGGCCGAGTTCGGAGGCGAGGCCAATGACATCGCCGAGCTCGGACTCTCAATCAAGCGGCTTTCACAACTGGAACCAAATTAAATTTGCTTCGAAACTGATACCCTCCTTCGCCGGAAAGGAGGATGAGAATATTATCCCCTGGTTGGAGCGGATTGCCAGCATCGCCAGAATGTATCGAATATCCGACGAGGTTCTGGTCGTTGCGGCGGTGAATCAGCTGTCCGGTCGGGCATTGGGTTGGTATAACCGTCAGCGAGTGGAGTCTGTTGCGTCTTGGCAGGACTTTAAGCGTCAAATCCGTCTGTATTTCGAGAGAAAAGAAACTGTCACCATGACACTGTCGAGAATCAACGCACGAGTATGGAGGGCGCAGTCCGAGAAATTTATAGATTATGCGGAGGATAAATTAAAGCTGATGCAGTTTCTCACGTTGACCGAGAAAGAGAAAATCGAATTGCTGGCTGATGGAGTCAAGGATTTCGCTTTCCGAAAATTCGCATTGAATTCATGGGCCACTAGCGTTCCGGAGTTTTTGGAGCAAATGCGGAGGATATCGGAGGACGGCGTGGTTGCGCGCCGTACGAGAGTCGACATCGCGGGCCAGAGGACCAGCCCGAGGTTGGCCGTCGGGGGGAGCGACATCAGTTGTAATTCTCACTGCAAGAAGCCCGGGCATCTCGCAAGGGACTGTAGGGTTGCCGCAATGACGTGCTTCGCATGCGGTCAGAGGGGTCACCTGAGTTCGGCCTGCCAAAGAAATAGATCCGTTCCGGAAACTACCTTGAATCACTTGGCGGAAGTGTCCGTGGAGGAAGAGGAGCCACAGTCGGAGGAGGCTGCCGAGGAGGAAGCGTCGAGCGGGATTTATGTCATCGAGGGGGAGACTCCGTACATCGCTGTGTCCAGATGCGGTTTTTGATGTCTTCTCCGCGTTTGTTGCGCACATAACTTTTAACGCTCGCTTCTTGGTTCTCGGATTGGCCGGTTTGCCGAACCAATCCAGCGCTTTACCCAATGTTTGAGCTCGTCTCACTGAATAACGTTCCCAAAACTATCAGAGTTCGACCATTTCAATGTCGAACTACTAAAATTATAATTAATTCCTTTTATCCGTCTTGAAAATACTTAATATCGCTTTACTTGGCCGTTTTTACTTATTCGCGTGGATAAATCTTTAAAACCCAACTCATTTTTCGCAATAACTTGACTCTTTAACTTGCAGTTGATTATCGGTGTGATGACAACTTTGGCTCGGAGCCTCTCGCCGCTTGGTACATCTTTTAAATTAACTAAAATAATAATATTTTATGGATTACATTGTCAAAATAACGCCCTGTTTCTCTGTTACAGATAATCACGTGACCGATCGCTTTATCCGGTGGTCGGATGATCCACCTTCGCTAATTAAATTCCAAAACAACTATGTACGCTGATTTTTGCATATAATTAAAATAAAATTCATGGATCACAATCATTAATTAATGTCGTATTTTTTTGTTACAGGTGATCACGTGACTTCTGGATTTGGACTTATTTTCTTAACATTCTCTTTTGATCTCGGAATTGTAAAATAATTATGTATGCTCAAACTATTATTAAAATAAACGCTAACGCATGGATTATATTTATTTTTTCTTATCGGCCGCCCGAATTGTCATCACCTCTTGCATTATATTTATGATTATTTTTATCTATTTCAGGTAAAGGCTTCTTCAATTAATGGAACGTTACTTATCATCTTACATTTGATTTTTTATTTATTCTATTCACGCACGTTCATTCATTCATTCATTCATACTTTACATGCTATATAATGCTGTATAAAATATAATAGTTAAATAACGAACTAAAGATCGGAAGAGCACACGTC